AATTTATTTATTGGCATTTGTTCTATTTTGTTGCCTTACAACCTGGAATTAAAATTGATTTTGGGGAGGTTTGTATAATTTGATTTACACAACATGCCTACCACTTTGAAGACGTAAAATATTTTTTTGGGTAAAACAAACAAGAATTAAGACCAAAAAAAACAGAAAACCTGAGCGTGCATAACTATCCCCCCCCCCAAAATCAATACTTTGTAGAGCCACCTTTTGCAGCAATTACAGCTGCAAGTCTCTTGGGGTATGTCTCTATAAGCTTGGCACATCTAGCCACTGGGATTTTTGCCCATTCTTCAAGGCAAAACTGCTCCAGCTCCTTCAAGTTGGATGGGTTCCGCTTGTGTACAGCAATCTTTAAGTCATACCACAGATTCTCAATTGCATTGAGGTCTGGGCTTTGACTAGGCCATTCCAAGACATTTAAAATGTTTCCCCTTAAACCACTCGAGTGTTGCTTTAGCAGTATGCTTTGGGTCATTGTCCTGCTGGAAGGTGAACCTCCATCCCAGACTGAAACAGCTTTCCCTCAAGAATGTCCCTGTATTTAGCGCCATCCATCTTTCCTTCAATTCTGACCAGTTTCCCAGTCCCTGCCGATGAAAAACATCCCCACAGCATGATGCTGCCACCACCATGCTTCACTGTGGGGATGGTGTTCTCGGGGTGATGAGAGGTGTTGGGTTTGCGCCAGACATAGCGTTTTCCTTGATGGCCAAAAAGCTGAAATTTAGTCTCATCTGACCAGAGTACCTTTTTCCATTTGTTTGGGGAGTCTCCCACATGGCTTTTGGCGAACACCAAACGTGTTTGCTTATTTTTTTCTTTAAGCAATGGCCTTTTTCTGGCCACTCTTCCGTAAAACCCAGCTATGTGGAGTCTACGGCTTAAAGTGGTCCTATGGACAGATACTCCAATTTCGCTGTGGAGCTTTGCAGCTCCTTCAGGGTTATCTTTGGTCTCTTTGTTGCCTCTCTGATTAATGCCCTCCTTGCCTGGTCCGTGAGTTTTGGTGGGCGGCCCTCTCTTGGCAGGTTTGTTGTGGTGCCATATTCTTTCCATTTGTTAATAATGGATTTAATGGTGCTCCGTAGGATGTTTAAAGTTTCTGATTTTTTTTTTTATAACCCAACCCTGATCTGTACTTCATCCACAACTTTGTCCTTGACCAGTTTGGAGAGCACCACTTTTCCGTTATATATTTTTTTGAATTTTTTGAAACAAGTTATTTTTTTCATTTCACTTCACCAATTTGGACAATTTTGTGTATGTCCACTAAATGAAATACAAATACAAATCAATGTGGCTATAGATACTTTTGTACCTGTTTCCTCCAGCATCTTCACAAGGTCCTTTGCTGTTGTTCTGGGATTGATTTGCACTTTTCGCACCAAAGTACGTTCATCTCTAGGAGACAGAACGCGTCTCCTTCCTGAGCGTGATGGCTGCGTGGTCCCATGGTGTTTATACTTGCATACTATTGTTTGTACAGATGAACGTGGTACCTTCATGCGTTTGGAAATTGCTCCCAAGGATGAACCAGACTTGTGGAGGTCTATAAAAAAACGTCTGAGGTCTTGGCTGATTTCTTTTGATTTTCCCATGATGTCAAGCGAGTTTGAAGGTAGGCCTTTGAAGGTAGGCCAAGAGAGTTTGAAGGTAGGCCTTGAAATACATCCACAGGTACACATCCAATTGACTCAAATGTAGCTCAGTTGGTAGAGCATGGCGCTTGCAACGCAAGGGTTGTGGGTTCGTTTCCCACGGGTGGCCAGTATGAAAAATGTATTCACTCACTAATTGTAAGTCGCTCTGGATAAGAGCGTCTGCGAAATGACTAAAATGTAAATTGGCTCACTAAAAAAAGACAACTTTAATTAGCCTATCAGAAGCTTCTAAAGCCATGACATAATTTTCCAAGCTGTTTAAATGCACAGTCAACTTAGTGTATGTAAACGTCTGACCCACTGGAATTGTGATACAGTGAAATAATCTGTCTGTAAACAATCGTTGGAAAAATGACTTGTGTCATGCACAAAGTAGATGTCCTAACCGACTTGCCAAAACTATAGTTTGTTAACAAGAAATTTGTGGAGTGGTTGAAAAACGAGTTTTAATGACTCCAACCTTAGTGTATGTAAACTTCCAACTTCAACTGTATATGTTGGGTATAATGTGTATATTTGTTGTATATACAGTTTACAGTTGTAAAAGAAACATACTGTAGGTCTCAATATGTCTTCCCTGTTAAAAGAAAGGTTAAAATAAAATACAGTGCTGTGAAAAAGTATTTGCCCCCTTTCTAATTTTCTCTACATTTGCATATTTGTGATACTGAATGTTATCAGATCTTCAACCAAAACCTAATATTAGATAAAGGGAACATAAGTGAACAAATAACACAACAATTACATATTTATTTCATAAACAAAGTTATGCAACACCCATTCTCCTGTAGAATTCTCTGATACAGAGCAGAATTCATGGTTCCTTCTATTAAGGGAAGTCGTCCAGGTCCTTAGGCAGCAAAGCATCCCCAAACCATCACACCACCACCACCATGCTTGACCGTTGGTATGATGTTCTTACTGTGGAATGCAGTGTTTGGTTTTCGCCAGGCATTACTGGAACCATGTCGTCCAAAAAGTTATACTTTTGAATCATCTGTCCATAGAATGTTCTTCCAAGAGTCTTGATGATCATCCAGGTGCTTTTTGGCAAACTTGAGTCAATGTTTTGGACGAGATGGGTCCCATTATGTCTGGCGAAAACCAAACACTGCATTCCACAGTAAGAACATCATACCAAAGGTCAAGCATGGTGGTGGTGGTACCAGTATAGTTAGCCTAGCGCTCCCTCCTCTCTGCTAGTACAGTTAGCCTAGCGCTCCCTCCTCTCTGCCAGAACAGAACAGCTAGCCTAGCGCTCCCTCCTCTCTGCCAGTACAGTTAGCCTAGCGCTCCCTCCTCTCTGCCAGTACAGTTAGCCTAGCGCTCCCTCCTCTCTGCCAGTACAGCTAGCCTAGCGCTCCCTTCTCTCTGCCAGTACAGTTAGCCTAGCGCTCCCTTCTCTCTGCCAGTACAGTTAGCCTAGCGCTCCCTTCTCTCTGCCAGTACAGTTAGCCTAGCGCTCCCTTCTCTCTGCCAGTACAGCTAGCCTAGCGCTCCATCTACTCTGCCAGAACAATACAGTTAGCCTAGCGCTCCTTTCTACCAAACAGACTGGGTAAATAAACACAGCAGAACCAGAATGGAGCTTGTTACCTCATGCCGTTTGGCAATCCCCTGTAGCTCAGTTAGTAGAACATGGCGCTTGCAACGCCAGGGTTGTGGGTTCATTTCCCACAGGGGGCTAGTATGAAAATGTATCCACTAACTGTAAGTCGCTCTGGATAAGAGCGTCTGCTAAATGACTAAAATGTAAATGTTTGATGTGCCGTTTGTCTGTTCAAATTTGCTTCTAGCGGAAAAACATGGTTAGTGACCTAATAATGTCTTCTAAACTGAGCAAATGTGGGAGGGTTGGAAAGGATGGAGTGGGACTTCTGAGGCAAAATAAAGTCATCCATATTTTTTATTTTTATATGCTGGTAGGGACTCAAGGCCCTATGAGCAGACTGGTGTGCGTTCCAAATGGTACCCTATTCCTTATTGGGCCCTGGTCAAATGTAGTGCACTACAAAGAGAATAGGGTACCATTTGGATGCGACCTGGACCATTCCTGAGGTGGGCTGAGATGCTGAATCAACAATTCGGCGGGAAAGTAAAGGGATGGAAGAAGGAAAACTCTGCTAAACAAACGTCACTCTAGTCATCTGGGTCACAGACAGACAGACAGACAGACAGGCAGACAGAGAGACAGACAAGACAGGCAGGAGGACAGACAGACAGACAGACAGGAGGACAGACAAGACAGGCAGGAGGACAGGCAGACAGACAGGCAGGAGGACAGACAGACAGGAGGACAGGAAGGCAGACAGACAGAGAGACAGACAGGCAGACAGACAGGAGGACAGACAGACAGACGGTGAGAAGAAGAAAGATGTGGAAAAGATGAAAACATATCATTCCTGGGGAACCAGGAACTACTTCCAGAACAAGTGATTTGTTGCTGAATGTAATAAATGAAGACTGAGGCAGCGTCCAAAATGGCACCCTATTCCCCGTAGGGAAGCAGAGAAAGATCTCAACTGCAACCAGAGGGAACTACAGAAGAAGGGTGCTATTTAGGGAGTTACTAAATTAACTTCCAGGAAAATAGTACTGTACATCAATGGAGGCTTTATAGTTGTTCATTGAAGTTGACAGATACAAGATGGATCCAATACAGACAGACAGTAATCAAACAAACAAACCCAACGATCAACTCACTAAACATTACGACATGTCTGATCTGCATTGACCATCACCAGCGACCTTTTCCAGACAGGCATTCTTAATTACAGCAGGCTAAATAAAACATTTACATTTACATTTTAGTCATTTAGCAGACGCTCTTATCCAGAGCGACTTACAGTTAGCGCATACATTATTTTATCGAACCCACAACCCTGGCATTGCAAACGCCATGCTCTACCAACTGAGCTACATCCCCTAAACAAATGAATTTAAAATGAATCAATCCAGTTCAAACATAATAGGGTTGGCACTGGCAGAACATTTTGGTCATAGAGACATTTTGTCTGATGTTATGATGAGGACTTCTTTAAAATGTTTGAAGTGTATTTCCTGCCTTTTCCTCCAAATGACTGTATTATTGAATCCATGGACTGTCAAATAAACAATAAAACATTTGTAAACTTCTATTTGTGCACAAACATTTGTGTGCATTACAAAAAATAACAGTGACTCGAGTCACTTGCACTCCAATAGTCCGCATTAATTAAGTAATAATGCTCTGCTTTCACCTATCCAGTCCTTTCAGATAGAAAGGGGGCCAAGGTAACGTGGTAGAGGCCAGCGAGGAACCAGCCCCTGGTGTTGCACCTCTCAGCTGAGTTTGGGTCCTTTTGACTGATGGCCATCAAAGCGTTTGTACTTGCCCCGACCTGGTGTGTGCTTGCCCCGACCTGGTGTGTACTTGCCCCGACCTGGTGTGTACTTGCCCCGACCTGGTGTGTACTTGCCCCGACCTGGTGTGTGCTGGTGGGCACGACCTGGCGTGCCCTTTGACCCCCCCCCCCCCCCCTCCTCAGGTTCCCACAGGGCGTTCCTGAGGAAGCGAGACGCTGCTGCTTTGTCCAGACTGGCCACTTTCCTCCTGTCAGTGATCTCCTTCACACGGTTCATATCCGTCCTGATCCTCTCCTACAGTCAGGTGACAAGAAAATAAAGCACTTAGAAATAACCTTATGATTAAAAAAATATTACATATGTCACTTAGCAGCAGGGATGGGCACGGTTATTCGAACAGACGTTAGTATTCTTTGTTCTTTTTTTAATCATAGGCCTATTTTAACGCTTTGTCTAAAATAAATACAATTATCTATGTGACATTGCTACACACATGGATATACCATGACATTTAAAATTCTTAATTCAATTATCAGTGTAGTTTTAATTACATGCGCCCCATAAAAAGTCCAATCAAAGTGGCACTTTCTACAGTCAGTGGCTCAGCAACGTGGGAGATCTCTAATCAACGCAAAATGGAAATAAAATTACGTAATGAAGTTAGTTAAATGAGAAGGAGCAGGCTGCCATGACGAGCAACCATCCGGTAGGCTGCCGTTTCATCTGAACGGAGTTGTTGTAGACAAGGACAAGGAGAGTAGGAAAACAGCCTCAATTAGCCTCGGTCGCTAGCTAGCTGGCTAACGTAGCTGGCTATATTCTTTACATCAATTTGATGCAGTCAAGACAGGCACTACCAGATGAGATGATAGATACAGGGCTCTACGCTCACGTGTGCACCCAAGTTGAAAAATGTAGGCGCACACAGAGAAATGTAGGAGCACAATTACAAATATTTGAGGTAATAAATCCTTAATTTTTCTAGGCTGATGCTCCTCAATAAAAAGGGCCCGGAGATAACCTGTGGAATCTACAACTTTGTCTAACTAGCGTGAGTCTGTATGGCTCTCTCTCTCTCTCTCTCTCCCCCCCCCGTGTAAAACTCACCAGCCTCTGCCCATCGCACTGCTGCAAGCAAGCGGCACTTAAGACGACTATCTGGATATCCGGAAAAAACTTCATGAGTGGAATTCTCTTCAGGGTAAAAATGAAAATATCTTACCAACTCTTGCTTGATTGTTTGGGGTTTATTCCTTGTGTGACCAAGTACGCTTTAAAACAACAAAACAAGAATGATACTAATTTAGCATGGGGAGTGTTGTGGTGACAGTCATGTAATCATCTTTACATACATTTTTTTTCAAGCAGACTAGATAGAATTTTACAACATTAACCTGGCTTTGCGTGCAGACAAATATAGCACACTTACTCCAGAAAAGAGAGTTGAGGCTATATGCAGACGTCAGGTCCAGCTTGGCTTGTTCCAGAGGATCCAGCTATCAAGAAAGCAAGAGACACATTGAGAGGGTTCGTTTTCCCCTCGCCCAGTTCGACAGGTAGGCAGAGTTTGCACCAGGTTAAAAGGTGACTGCATTTGTTTTGTAACCAGGCTGCCCCCCCGTTGGTGTGAGCTGGGATGTAGCCTAGGTAAAGCACGTGGAGTAATGCGTTAGTGTTCCCTGTTTCCAAATGGGCTTTATCTTCCTTCCCAAGGAAAACTAGTTTAAGAATTCAAACATATATATATATATATTTACAGAAAATACATGTTGTAGCCCGTTTCTGAAGCATGCATCATGCTTCCTTATTGACAATATGACCCGGCTCTGTAGATTACTGTTCGATTTGAGCAGGGCGCTCCGCCTTCGGCGGTTTTGGGTCAGGCCCTAGCTCTGTCCACCCCGGTTCAGTGTAATCGAACCTCCTGGGACAGCAGAGGCCTAAATATTACCCTTCTGTTGACTGACTCAGAGTGACACTCCCAATAATCAGGGGTGTATTCATTACGCCGATTCTGTTGCAAAACGTTTTGTCTGTTGCAAAAAACGCTTTGCGACAGAAACCGTTTACTCCAAACAGAAAACGAAAACTAGAGTTTCTATTGGGCAAATTCAGGTAGGTCCCTCCCAGTTTCGTTTGCTCTGTCTGGTTCATAAACTGTAAACGGTTTCCGTTGCAAGACATAATGAATACACCCCAACGCTTCAGATAACACTCAATACCAAGGCGCAGCGGTCTAAGGCACTGCATCTCAGTGCTTGAGGCGTCACTACAGACCACCTGGTTCGATTCCAGGCTGTATCACAACCGGCCGTGATTGGGAGTCCCATAGGGCGGCGCACAATTGGCCCAGCGTTGTCCGGGTTTGGCCGGTGTAGGCCGTCATTGTAAATAAGAATTTGTTCTTAACTGACTTGCCTAGTTAAATAAAGGTTAAATACAAAAATACAAAATACAAAAATTCTACCCTGTCTGTCACCGACTGGCTGATCACTACTTACCCGTTGTACCAGCTCATTTCTTGGCATAGATATGATGGTCTGCACCATGTTGTTGACAGCATCGACTGATGACTCAAACCCAGTGGCGGCTCCTGAAAAAATTCTCAGGGGGGGCAATTTTTCTGATGATTTAGGTGACCTACACACATTTAAAAAAAGATATGTCCAGCAACAACATGAAGACAGGGGCAGCATATAAGTCAATACCAGAAGCATTTATTGACTGATCTCAAAAGTGTTGGCTTACAAAAGCAAAATAAGTTATCACAGTAAAAATAATCAAGGGTGTTCTTTCACATTCCTCAACACTGCATAAACAATATGCATTTCCATAAACAAATGAAATATCAGCTGAAAATACAGCATCTTGGTATTTGTTCAGATTGCAGGATCAACAAGAGCTTTTACCACATTTACAACATTTCAATGGTAGTGCAGCCAAATATTGTTTAAGAGTAAAAGAGAAATCCACACTTACACAATAAATAGTAACAGCATGGCAATAACAAGTAGACAAATTGTTGAGAGAAGTGGATGCCAAGTCCGCTTATTATAAGCGACTTTGGGCTTGTTTTTCTGTAAAGTCGCTTACAAATATTGGTAGTCGCGGTCGCGTTTTTTTGGGGGCTTGTTTCTAAAGTGTAGTTGCTTATTTGGGCTTGTTCCCAGCTCCATAGTAAGTTGTCAAGCAGTCTTGCCTGTTCCCTCTGTCCCTCCCCTTTCCCCATACACACAGGAGAGGGCAGAGTTTTTTTTCCCACCCACATCCTGCTTCTAATTGGCTCTGACCCAGATGGCAACGAGTACTAGCCAATCAGAGGCAGAGCAGGTCAATCTGTTATTTTCTGTTTAGGAAAACGTCAGTGAGTGACGTTTAAAATGAAAATACGTGCGAGTCGCAACTGATGGTGAGTAACTGGACTGTAGGAGAGTTTTTGGAGGAACAAATGCCCCGGGGGCAAAGTGGGCGAAACACGGGAAGAAATATAACAAAGACTGGGAGAAAGAGAAAAAAGTAAAAGAATGGATTCAACCCGTCGCGGGTTAATTTCTCCTGTTAATGGGTTATAGTTATTTAAAAATGGGATCTTCTGCAGTCCCTGCAATAATAAATAAAGAATATGTGAATTCAGGATGATATTTATTTGTGTGTGCAAATTTTCATTATCAGAAGTTACTGTGTATATAATGTACTTGGTACATCAGTCTATATTTGATATCCCATCAGTTTTCTAATGTAAAATAATGTTAAAAAGGTGGTTTAACTCCTTATTGTAGTCATTGTCCTGAAGCTCAGGGGGGGGGGGGGGGGAATAAATAAACTACAGTGTGTACAGTTTTGCAAAACTGCGCACAGTTGACTAATCTGTCCACATGGATGTAAAATTGACAATCTGTACCCACGGATTGTAAAAACATGCACACAGTTGATTTCTCTCTTCCCAGAACCTAGTGGGGCTCCGTAGAAAAAGTTGCTTGTTTTGGGCTTTTTTTTCCCCACAGGCCTGGTTGCTTATTTGTCTCGCGAGATCTGGCAACACTGAAGTGGATCTTTACAACTACATTTTGTGGAATGTAGGATATGACCAAAGTGCTACTTAATAAAAGCAATGTAACGTTGTCCCAAATAGGGGAATGAACAAGTGAGGCTTGACCTAGTATGGTCTGGGCATCTTGGCTTTACACATCGAAGACCAAACCAGAATGATGAGGTGCTGCTAAGTTTAACTAAATAATTCTGATATACACATTACTTGCTTCAAAAAGGCCTCATGGTTGAATTGGAAATATGTGCACCTGAGCATAATTCACAACAAGCAAGCAGGAGCTTTTGATCCTCGGGTGTAGGACTTTCCCCCTTTAGTAGAAACCTGTTGAATTATTAAATTTGGTCTGGGAGGTCCTAATTGTTTCGTTGCCAATTTATCTTGATTTGTTCGCCGACAAAAAGGAACTTCTTTCAAAGAGACAATCGAGTTGCACTGAACGCTAGCCATCTTGACAGTAGTACGTGAATTGATTGACGCTGCTACCCGCTCTTTTCTTAGTTACGTTCATGGTTATGTTACGTATGACGAAAGCGCGTAAGTGCAAGCCCTCCCGGAACCCATAGAGATTGTATTGAAAGCTCTGATATTTGAAAAAAAAAGATTTTACATGAGAGTCTATGAGAAACTTCTGGGGCGATTTTCAACCTGACTGAAATCGCCCCAAAAGGGGCAGGGCCATTTGAAGCACGACTTTAGCCTGATTGGACATTTAGTGGCAGATCAGACGTCTAGATTAGAACACTGATAACTACTGTTGCCGTGATATAATTGATTAGAAAAAAAATCCCTTCCTTTTCCCGTTTGGCAGTGCGTCGCCCATATCGCCCTAATGAACACACCGCCCCTGCTCAAACCCTGTGAGCTGCTCCTCAATCTCAGTAGGGTAGTCTTCCACAGGGATGTCCTCTGCCATGTTGTCTGGGGAGATTGAGAAAGTCAATTAACGTTAGACATAGTAGACACTAGAAACGGTAGCTAGCTAGCTACTAATTTTAACTATACCATGACAACTCAATTGCAGCATATATTTATACCACCATCTTTGATGCAGCTAAAACAGAGAGGAAGAGACAAATAGATCATCTTTGGCTAAGATAGACATGCATGTAGCCAGTAGATCCGAGGCCAGGCTTCCTGTGTAGATTAAGACACCGCAGAATTGGCACGAAATATGGCTCAGTAAATATACCTCAATCCAGCAGTGAGAAATGCATTGTACCCCGAATTGCCCCGTTAGCCTTGCATGATGATAGATAGCTTGGCTGGCTAGCTAGCGTTCATGCAAGGATTCTGAACAGCTAGCTACGTTTCAGAGAAAACGTATTATTTCAGTCAATCACAAAATCATTCGGAACACTTCGTTAACTACTCATTGTTTGGATAGTTTGTTATCGTAACTAGTTATTGCAATAATGTGAACCTACCTACCTGTTTCTCCACACACACGTTGTAGTCCTACCGGAAGTACATCAAAGTCAACATTGTCGTCTATGTTTTGTATTTCGCCTCTCGATGAGCTCAACACGCTCTCTACTTTGTTGGAGTTCAGAAAACTTCTTCTTCTTCTTCTTCTTCTTCTTCTTCTTCTTCTTATGTGGGTTTATGGCGGACTACATCCAAAAGTTGTATTGCCGCCACCAACTGGACGGTTTGATACCCCTCCCAAAAAAACAACAACAACAAAAAAATCCATACTTAATAATTATTCTAACAATCCACCCTAATAAAAATGGTACATTGCCAAAACAAACAAAACTCCCACTTCTTCCTCCTTTTAGTTCTCCATATCTCCTTTCTCAGGCTTTTGCTAATATTCCATGTTAAATCAAATCAAATTGTAACTCCTTAGCCGTGAAATCTTTCAGCCCAAGGAACCGCACGGCCGCAATCACAATGATTTCAATCTTCCTAGATATTTTCTCCATTATCACCATTACAATAAAGGCCACAAAGTCCACCTTTTTAACCTTTAAATTGTCAGGATCCTCTTGGTGTAAGACAACCCCTGCAGCCTGCAGTGAAGGACTATCCACTACCATGGACTCTTCTGGTGCAACATTCAAACCCTCAACCCTTTTCACAGCTTCTGTATATGAAATGCTCTGTACAACCCTGACTTTTACCCTTGTGGGGCATTCAGAAGAAGTGGCTTCATGATTCCCACCTCAATTACAACATGTCACATTTTCTTCACTTTTATAACACATAATATGATATTTTCCACGTCTTGTACATCTCGGCTTCTCCCTTCTGCAAACACTTTCTACATGACCAAAAGCTTTACAATGTTCACACTGCATTGTTCTTGGGAAAATAATCTAACTCTGTAGTTAATATACCCTAATCGCACTTCATTAGGGAGAGACTCCATTTTAAAAAAACAAAAGAACGGATAAACTCTTCACTTTTTCCCCATTCACCACTTGATTCATCCGACGTGCTTCAATCACAATCAAAAATATTCCATCTCTTCCAAATCAAAGTCCCACGAAACGCCAGATATAACCCCGTTAAGGGGTTGCCCTGTTCCGAAGCTACACACACAACACTTCAAACTGATCAAATGGATTACGACACAACGCACTTTCATTCTGATCGGCTGAATCACAAAACATCTGAACAAGTCCTCGTCTAGTGATCCTCACGTCCTTCACTTTCCCCAGCACTCCAGTCCGGATAACTCAAATGGTTTCTTCAAGATTGGTATTCTGCTCAGCTGCTCCTTATTAACAAACCGTTCTCCTACTAGATACGAAGGGTCATTCTAATCACTGTACCCTATTTTTCTCCGTTTTCCATTACTTTTGAGCATTACTCCAATTCTCCTTGATTCTACCTCCATTGTATTCTGATTCCACTTCATCATCCGCTTCCGCCATCTGCCGTGAATCTGTTTCGTCAGACGTGCCGGTGCAGGAAACTACATTCAAGCGCATATCGTGAAGGGCCATGCTGGCTATTTTAACAGTGAAGTTAGAAGAATGTGATTAATTTAGTTGGCAATGGCATAATAAACGGGACTTATCAGCCTTTTAATAGCGTTTGAGCGCTGGACATAGAGCGAAACGAGCTTGTTTCCATGGTTACAGAAATCCTAGAATAAAAAAAGTTGCAACAGTTTCAAACAGCTTAAAAAAAAAAAAAAAAAAAGCTAAAATGGACAATTGTGATTTGGAGAAGCTTGCAATTTCGTGACAGAAGTTGCAGCCTGCGTTCAAAGCAGATGTAACAACTTACAAAGTTACTGTTGCAAGCAAGGTCAACCAGGTTGCATTGGACCTGCTCACAAGAGACTGCGGATCCTGTTATAAAATCGTAAGTTTCAACAAAGTAAAGTTTTTTGGGATGCGAATATTTTTTAATACTGTAAGATATTCTACACTGTGTACTACGCACGACATGATCTGTTCTTCATGCTCTTGCAAATCAATACATTTAAAAATTTTCAGCTTTGTGGTGATGGCTCAAAGTCCATCACACTGAATGATGGATTGAATTTGGTTGAAATAGAGTTGGTAGCCGAGGATGGGACCTCCAAGAAATATTGCATTGAGGTCACCAAACTGTCTGCGAGGACTGCGGAGTTCAGTGACCTGACCATTGAAGGAAACGTTCAATTACAACCTGCATTTTCTGCAAACATCTATGATTACTCGAGTGAGTGGGTATGCATTAAAAAATATATATGAAAATAAAGTATCTATTCTATTCTCATGACTTATTCTATTACTTATATAATATGCTGGGTTTTTTTTTTTTCAACCTGGCAATCTTTTCATTTAGGCACAGTTTATTTCCACTGTAACTCGGGTGACCATACTCCCGAAGGTTCCTGATTAAAAACATGAACGTTTCAGTGAATGAAGAAAGTGATTCCAAACCTTCTCCATTGAATGTTGGAGAAACTGTCGTCAGTATCAAGGTCTTATCGGCAGATGGCAGCAATTCTCAGGTAAGACAATTACACAGACTTACAGTATTGGCAACATTTGTATGGACATTTTTGGTCAATCTTTCTACTTTAGATATAATGATACATAAACTATTCAGTGATTCCTGATGGATTTAAAGAGTGTGTCTTTCAAAAACCACTCCCAGATTTACTATGTGCTGGTGACGCGAGAGCAGATTCCCATGGCTGTGGCTTTATAATAATAATAATAATAATAATAATAATATGCCATTTAGCAGACGCTTTTATCCAAAGCGACTTACAGTCATGTGTGCATACATTTTTACATATGGGTGGTCCCGGGGATCGAACCCACTACCCTGGCGTTACAAGCGCCATGCTCTACCAATTGAGCTACAGAGGACCAGGCTCTTTCAGTGATGTGAAAGAGCAGGTCTACTATGAGTGTCCTGTCACTCTGACCGCCCTCTACAGACCCATCTCCATCAACCAGAGGTCAAGTTTCTATAGCAGGGGTGTTCTAATCACACCCTGGAGGTCCGGAGTACTGCTGGTGTTCTGTTCTACCTGATAATTAGTGGCACCCACTGAATTAGTCCCTGATAAGGGGAAGAATTAAGAAAATAGCAGTGGAACTGGCTTCGAAGGTCCAGATGTGTGACCAACCAGGTTCAACCCCAGGTCTCCTACTCTTCAGGGCCCATAGTCACACAGAATCTCAGAGTAGTGCTGATGTAGGATCAAGTCCCCCCTGTTTATAAAATCTTATTCAATATTATCTGAAAGGCAAAACTGATCCCAGATCAGCACTCCTACTCTGATAAGCTTTATGGATACGGGCCCTGATCTCAGGTTATTTATCAATGTGCATGGATTCTTTCTCATCAATTGAGACTCTGACACTGTTTTCTGCAGTGATCCACAGCACTTGTTCTCAGCCCCCTGCATTGACATGCTGGTGAGAAGGTCAAAGGTCGACCCGCTAAACGAGTGTCCTCTCGGAGACAGCTGGAAGGTTCTGGAACACGACCTGGACAAGACCATGTCCTCCGCCCTGGTCAAGTGTTTCTTTGCATACCGAGGTACACTGTCACTTACAAGCCAACAAGATGATTACTTTCTCAAATATGATTATTTCTTATATTGAAGGAATGTTGTAATGTTCAAATTTCACTCATATCAATATCAGCTAATCAGCAGTTACAGATGAAACCACAGCTACTGTGTGTTTGTCATTAATCATGGCATGTCTCTGTTTAAGAGAGGATGTGAGAGTGTGATGAAACTGGCTGAAGTGGGGTCACATGCACTGGAGTGTCCACACAAACCCTCAGCGGACCTGGACCAAAAGGTCAGCATGAAACATTGACCAGTGTGCGTGTGTGTGTGTGTGTGTGCGTGTGTGTGTGTGTGTGTGTGTGTGTGTGCGTGTGCGTGTGTGTGTGTGTGCGCAGAGGGCTAAAATCACAGCCATCGATCTAGGCTCTTCTCATGCTTTAACATCAGCCAATAGTTCGAAGTGCTCTAACCAAATGACCATCCCTAATAAAACTTTGCCGCATTGCATGTTTGTGTGAAATATCTAACCCTTATTAATGCAATCTTAATGCTGGAATACGTAATGGTGAAACTGTCACGTCCGTTTGAGGTATTACAACAACAAAGAAGTTACTTCAAACAACTTACACAGTTTTTTACCCCCCTCTGACATCATTGCATGCGCAGTAGAACAGCAGAGTATGTACTGCACGTTGTTTTTAACACGATGCTGGATCCTCCTCTCCTCCTCTTCTGCTTCATCAAAACAAAAACAATAACAAATGTGCTGGGTTGAACAGTAGCACCGTTTCCTCTTATGTGGATTTCAGCTTTCAATGTACCTTTCTTTCAGGAAGTCACTGAGACAAGCTGGTACAAGAAGCATTTTGCATCCTCAACCTGCTTAGAGATAGAGACCAAACACACCTTGGAGGTAACGAGAACACTTTACAAATGGTTACCTATGATAGAGGCATAGACTTTGAGGCATAGACTTTGAAAATGCCTAAAGCTATGCAGTTACAGTGCAACACTCCAGTTATGGATTACTCACTGATACAAGGTATTTACATAACATATGTCCTACAGAGAACTGAAATATTGCAACGCATTGCCTAGTTTGGATATCTTGCTCTATTTGCTATCATCATTGATGCTAAGATTGTTCAAACTTTTGTCCATCTCATTAGATAGATTCTCTGCTAATGTGTTGCGGATGAGGCATCATTCATTCTGCATCAGTGAGGATTTTTCCTTTGTTCTCCACAGGTGCGTAACTGGGAGAAGAGACTACAAAAGGCAACAGGACAGGATAATGTCGATAATCTATGTGCCCTGGCCCAGGACAATCTGAAACTCTACAGAGAGCGTCTGCCCAAACCAGGTCGGTAAGAGTTTCCATTCAACGCAGCTAAACTGAACCCCTGTGAGCATACCGGATTAGCCTTTCCCATTGAAAAATACACGAAGAGAGGCTAGTTAGCGTTTGCATAGTGGATTAGCCTTGCTTATTGAAAAATACATGAAGAGAGGCTAGTTAGCATTAGCGTCAAGGGGCTTACCCTGACATGATGCGGGGACACTCAAGTTACTGTTTGTCATTTTTTTGTCCACTTGTGCCTGACTAATCACTGAATCTGAGAAGTGTCATCAGAGAAGCGTTGAATAGGACTCGTTGGTCCTCATTCTGAAATCTAATCCTCACAAACTTGAGAACAAGAGGTGTGTCTGTATGAGGTAAAGTGTTGAAATATACAGACTCTGTGAAAGAGAGTTAGGTTCCGCGACCTGGAAGAAATCCTGAATGAAAAGGGATGTAATTCCAAAACAATTCAAAGCCACCTTAACAGTCTTCCGGTTGGTCTTGAATGAGGAACAGTAAAGGGTCTTTCAGAGTTCAATGTGCAAGAATTATTGGAAACATGCACCAGCTACCTCTTTTCAATCAAGCTATGACACCAACCATCTCAGATTGTTCTGAAATCTTTTCTGTAGTTAGAAACAGATAAGATTAGCATTCCTGCAACATTATTTTGTTGAAATATCATTTGATCTCTGAGAAATTAAGCTAAATGATTGCACGCACATTGGCCATTTTAATCTATAGGATTAATATAATATTCAATAAATATATTACCTAACATCTGATTTGGACCAAACTTTTTTCTAACAATGAGTAAGACATGAGGAATCCAAAGAAATGTTCAAAAGACACCCACGGACGCCCCACACCCCACACCAATCCCACCCCAACAACCAGTAGACAGTATCAGTTCTCTATGTCTGACAAGTAGTATGGAGGGGTGGCTCGGAGTATTGTTTCTTCATCCTATGTAATGTATTCTCAGTGAATTTGGTGATGTTTCCCCCCCCGTTCAGAGAAATTAGTCATTGAAGTTCTTAGGTTTATGTCCCATCTTACATCCTGATATTTCCAGGTTCTGACCACTAGATGGTGCTGTTCCTTCTGTTATTATTATTATTATTATTATTATTATTATTATTAAACAATGCTAATCTTATAGGGTGTTAAAATCCTCTTTCTTGTGTTTTTTGAGGTGAAACGACCCTTTGGTATGTCAGGGCTATGAAGCCGTAGTTAGGGAGGCTTAGATTCTTCTAGAGTGGCGGCGATACTTCCCTCGTGTGTGTTAGAATAGAAACTCTTTAATTTCCTCTGGGATGCAAAGGGCCTGACATCAATGTAAAGTGACAGATAAGGGTTGATATTGCAGAGGCAATTTACACCCATTGAATATTTCATGCAAAAAGATGCAGGCGATCTTTCATAAGTGAAAGTCTGGCAGACATATCAGTGTGGATGTCGGATCACCACATCAAACTGAACCTCGGCAAGACGGAGCTGCTCTTCCTCCCGGGGAAGGACTGCCCGCTCCATGATCTCGCCATCACGGTTGACAACTGGATTAGCACAGGTCCTAATCCAGGCACTTGTCATCTCCCGTCTGGATTACTGCAACTCGCTGTTGGCTGGGCTCCCTGCCTGTGCCATTAAACCCCTACAACTTATCCAGAACGCTGCAGCCCGTCTGGTGTTCAACCTTCCCAAGTTCTCTCACGTCACCCCGCTCCTCCGCACACTCCACTGGCTTCCAGTTGAAGCTCGCATCTACTACAAAACCATGGTGCTTGCCTACGGAGCTGTGAGGGGAACGGCACCTCCTTACCTTCAGGCTCTGATCAGACCCTACACCCAAACGAGGGCACTACGTTCATCCACCTCTGGCCTGCTAGCCCCCCTACCTCTACGGAAGCACAGTTCCCGCTCAGCCCAGTCAAAGCTATTTACTGCTCTGGCACCCCAAAGGTGGAACAAGCTCCCCCACGACGCCAGGACAGCGGAGTCACTGACCACCTTCCGGAGACACTTGAAACCCTACCTCTTTAAGGAATACCTGGAATAGTATAATAGTAATCCTTCTACCCCCCCTTTACTACCACTGTCTTTTGTCTAAACTAACACCTGACTTATTTCACCTGCTAGCACTGACTTGTTTAAAGAAATGTACTTATTGTGATCGAGATGTAGTTGTCCCTGATTGCACTGACTTTGCTCACAGCTGCTTGTTTGAAGAAGTGTACTTACTGTGATCAAGATGTGGTTGTCCCACTGGCTATCCTAAGTTGAATGCACCAATTTGTAAGTCGCTCTGGATAAGAGCGTCTGCTAAATGACTTAAATGTAAATGTAAAGTAAAACTGAGGCTGGCACAGAATACCCTTTTCCTCATCATGTTTGTGCGTGTGCCTGTGTGTGTGTGTGCCTGTGTGTGTGTGTGTGTGTGTGTGTGTGTACCGGACCTACCCAGGTGACCCGCTGCAGTATGAGGATGGTCAGTCTCCTTTGGACTGTCTGGGGCAGGC